GGCGCCGCTCCGCATCGGCCCCGCCGGCAGCGCCGGGGAGGCGGGCGACTTGGCGAGCGACCAGGCAAAGAGAAAGCACCCCCAACGCACAGATGCGCCAAACTTACTGCGGGGAGCCCGGCAACTTTCTTTTCCCCGGGCTTCCACTTTTGCGCTGCGTCTTTTCCAGCACCCTTCCTCCTCCTCCTCCTCCTCCTCCTCCTCCTCCTCCCCGCTGCTGCTTCCCCGAAGCGCAGGCAGAGCGACGCCGGGCTAGTTTGGGTCCGGGCAGATCCGAGCGATCACCGCTTCAACTTGCACGTGTCCCGGGCGGCTTTTTGGTGCAGCGGCTTTCTCCCGGGATTTTCCTCTCCTTACAACGGGTCCCAGCTCCGTACTTTCTTGCCGAGAGGTGGGGATTGGTTTATCCGAGTGCAGAATAAAGGAGGAGGAGGAGGAAATATCTAAGCCATTGAAGAGGGGGGCCCGAAAACCCCCCCCCCCCCGCCCCGTCTCGCCGCCCTCTGGTCTGGGTTTGCAATAGGTCGGCTCTCCGGCGCTTTGCAGAGCAGGGCTGGCTCGTGGGGGTGCGGTGTCTGTGTGCCTGCTCCGCTCCGCTCCGCTCCTCCCGCATTAGCAGGAACTCCTGGGGCTGGAGCAGCTGGGGTTTTCAGGGGGCGGCTGAGTCCAAGGATAAAATAAATAAAATAAAAATGGAAAAAAAAAACCCCAAAAAACCTGGGCAGGATCCGCCTCGCATACGACATCCACTTTGCATGAGAAAGGTGAAGCTGACACGGTGATTACTTTCCAATCACTCGGAACGCCTCGAAACCTCCTTAAGGACCCCTACAGGTTCTCCTTGATCAGCACAGATTAGAAAAAGCCCCATTTGTTTCTCTCTCCTTCTGTCTTTCCTTCCTTTCGCCTTTCCCTCCCGTTGCCCTCCCTTGAAAGTTTAACAAGATCTTTTCACTAGAAGGCGTCAGCCTAACCTCCCTCACTCAGGTAGGAAGCCAGGGAGAGCGAGTGCTTCAGACTTCGCGTCTCCTAATAAGAGGGTGGAAGGTGGTGCCTCCTTGACTGCCTTTATTGGAGGGGGGGGCAATGCTTTAGCAGGGAGGATGTGGGGAGGAGGATGCGTTTTATGGCGAAGGCTATAAACTCTTCGCTGCCAGGGTCATAAAATATGGTTGCTTTCAGCCTGGAATCTCAGCTGTTTTCAAATGTCGTGCTTTGGCTCGAATCCCTAAATGAACAGGACAGGCAGGATTGCTGAAAAAGTACCTGATTATGGTTTTAATCACAGTATGGCATCACTCGAAAAGTAGCTTGCTTCCCCCCCCCCCCTTCCTTTCCTTAAATAAGAAACCATAAGAGGACTAGAGACGTACCGTTGGGAAAGTTACTTCATCCACTATAGGAAAAGATACTTGCAGATTTTGGCGTCGGAGATCATTCTAAAGTGAGTTGTGTTTACTTCTGAAGTTAAGCTTTGAGATTTATTTTGCTTATTGGTCTATCAGAGCTAGAAGGAGGAAGTTAAATCCCAAGCCAAACTGTAATTCACAATTTTACAGACTGAAAAGGAGCACTGTGATCAGAAGTCAAAAGATTAGCTCTATTTGCCCCCCCCCCTTTTGAGCTTAGTTTTAGCGAACATATTAATGAAGAAGGAAAATCTCTCTTTCTCTTCATTCATGCTCGCCCACACAAACCGGGCTCCTCTCCATTAGTGCCTGTTTCTTATCGAAATGAACACGGATTCTCCTGGAAACTACCAAATCCCGCAGGGTCAGAGTTAATACCCCACCAGGCTCTAGAAAGGAAACTGTTGGCTTCCTCAATTGTGATAAGGGTGAAATGGATCCAAGCAAGGACAACAAACCAGGGGTAATGTTTGTCTTTGAAAACCCTGAAGATGTGGCTAGTTTTCGCCGAGAAGTAAAAGCCATCATAAAAATGTTTTAAAACAGTAGTCCTTTTTGTGGCTTTTCAGTGGATCGAGGAGATTATACTTATAAAAGTACTGATCTTAGGGGCTGACCTTTCCTTGGGCACTTTTAGATTCCTTAGGGAATGTTACAAAAGCAGGCAGTGTTATGTGCAAAAAAAGCTTTATTTATTTTAGTGTGTCTGCGTGTCTGTATGTGTGTGAAAGAGTGTGTGTTGGGGCATTTCCATTCTTCGTTAATCTAAGCCTGTTTTCTTAGTATTTGTATGCATCCTGATTCCTCTTCTAGAGAGCTCAGTTGGGGGTAGTAGGGAAGTGTGGGGAGAGCTTTTACAAGGGACAAGTAAATTCTACTTTTAAAAGTAAAATTTAAATAATAATAAAAAGTAGAATTTAAATAAAGCGTAAGATGAACATATTCAATATTTGTTTTGTTCAACTTGATTGTTTGGGAGCTTGTTTTTCTCTTTTTTTTTCCAACAAATATTTTTGAAAAGCATGTTATATCACCATTCACATTAAAGTAATCTAGAAAAAATACATGAAATAAAACATGGCCTGTTTTCTTCTATAGCACTGATAGCAACCTTTTTCTCCTAAGAGGCAAAAAGAAATACAAATGAAAGTGAGAAAAAAGGGGGGGGGGAACCCCCAACCTTTGTAGCTGTGTCTCTCTTAATTGATCTTTTATGTGCCAGTTTAAATCAGCCTTGTTTTTCTAGCCATTATTTTAGCCAATGCATCCCGCTTTAGGTCATTTATTTTACTTTCTATATTTTTAAAGAGCTATCTAGGGATATCTCCCATTCAACGAGCTTGAGTCAGTGAAACTAACAAATAGAACATTATTACAGAAAAATGAGAGTGCTGAGAAATCAGCAACTGGAAGATACCTCTGTAACTAATAAATGAAAAGAGCCTTTTGATGGCTTCAGCTGAAAAGATATTTTATTTTATTTTTTTCTCCTGTGTGTGGGATTTGAGATGTGTGATTCTATGGAGCAGCCAGGCACCCCTGCTGCTAGGCCCTGGCTAGGAGTTGGCCCCCCTCTGGCAAATGTTATGGAGAATTGGGAGGAATTTTATGGCTGTCTTTTCCCTCAGCTCTTTTTTCTTTTGTCTTCTTTGAAGAATGACTTTAGACATTTTATTTACATATTTAACCATGGATGAAAGAGGAAAAAGAAAGCATTTGGGCCGTTGTGGGAATAGTGATATGTTTAAATTAATGGAAATCTTATTAGGCTTCTAAAATTTTAAGCAAAAGATTTTTAATGAAACTTTATAATTAAACATGATTTCAAATAATGTGCCAACTCACAGGAAAGATGCATTTCTCCCTCTAGCTATCCATCTCCCCACCTCCCAAAAATGTGCAGAGGAATCATCTGTATCTTAAAGTCCAGCTCTTCTTCTATCCCGTAAGCAAAAGATTAAACAACCTGAATATTTAATAAGGCATGTCATAATTCAAACCATAACTAAATATTTTGTAGGTAAAGCAAACCATAAACAAGACAAGAAAAAAGACACACCACCCCTCATCCCTGCAATAGCAAAGTTTAATGCTGTGTAATCTATTGCAGTGACAGTGTAATAAAATACTTTGATATGGGTAATGGTGAAAATCAAAGTTGCATCTATTCTATACATGTTAGAGTCAATGGAAATTACAGTGCTAGGCAAGGTTTTCTGAAATGGGATTAAGGAAAACCCAAATAATCCATTTGAGATAAAATGTTCTGACACTTCAGCAATAAAGAGAAATGAAATGATAGGCTTGGGGAGTTGAAGAGTTAATTAATGCATTAAAGATTTTTAGTAAAATAGTCTAAATTACTTATGATTAACAATAGTGTGTTATGACAGAACATGAACTGATATTGTCAATCTTATGTTTAAGAAGTCTGTAGCTATAACTGTTTTGTGGGTTTAATATTTGTGGCCAGCTGTCCATTACACAAAAAATAGAGATCAGTTTAATGTTAGTCCCATTCAATAATCCTATCCTCATCTGTATTTTTATTCATTCATTCAGACACTTTTTAACTGCTTACATCTGGTACGTGTATCATGTACAAATTCTAACATATATATTTTTAAAAAAAAAAAGTTAGCCATACAGAAGATAGCAACAGTAAAACAAAAAGATAACACTCACAAAAAGAAGAAAGATAACTACTTTAGCAATTTTATAAGCCTGCCTTTCTTACTGAATTTCCACTAGATATTCATAAAATTAAATGGCATGCAGAAAAATGTTTACTTTTTAAACAAAATGGGCTTATTTTTTCCTAGCCACAGAATCTTTGTATAGCAGTTTTCCTCCAATATTTAAATAAACACGTCTGCCTAGTAAGACAGGCATACTGAGAAATATTCCCATGTAAGTGCGAATATTCACAATGCACAAAAGTTTTAATTACCTTAGAAAGCCACCGCCACCAACAGTTAAAAGAACCAAAAACAAAAACAAATCATAAATGGATGAGTGGGTTGTATAGTATTGCTCTAATACAATTTAGGTGGCTATTTTAAGGGCACTTCCCTTGAAATGTGGTTTGAAATATTACCAAAGGTTCGACGGGGTGCATTAGTGTGAATTGCAAATCAGAACATTTCTTTAATCCCCTTTTCATGGCCTGGCTTCGGATCAGTGGCATCTAAGGGACTCCCCACTGATTCTGGCTCAGGAGGAACCATTCACTGGGGCAGCTTCCCTCCTCTATTCCCACAGTCCAGAAAACAACACCACAGACAGACACCCTCCAACTAAATTAGATTAAACTCCTTCTCTTCCACAGCACATTAG